TCTTCAACATCGATTCGTCAAAATGACCCCGGTACGAGGCACCACTCTTTCAAAGTAGCTCATCTCTCATTACCAAACATGAGATTCTCAGAAAAGTAAATGCCCACCATCTCACCTCCCACCGTCGTGCAGGTGGGGAGAAGAATCTCCCGTATCCATCCCAAGTGCCCTTGCCGCAACATGGATACCTTCTTTGCAATTTGTCTGTGTGTCAAAGAGCAGAAGCCATGCCACCATCTCATTCTCGCAAAGCAAACAAACTGGGGGACCTGGGGGTACGGGTACAACACATGTTACCTGCCCAGCCATGGTCATTCACCGGATCGCTCCTGCTAATATGCTGCTCATCTCATCGTCGTGATCTAGACTAGGGAAGAGGTAATTTTGTAGATACACCGCAGAGACGCACATTGATACTTGCTACTCTTCCATGAATACGTGAGACTTCCACTTCCTATCCGTAGTACTACCACGAATACTTGGCAAGCATGGGAAGGTCCAATTCGAGCCCACATGTTCCGCTTGAACCCGGCTCCCCAGTTCCCCATCTGAACGGAGCTGGGAAGAGGCCGGCTCCAGCTTTCCCTTGCCATCTTCTTCGGTGTCTGCCCGGTCACCTTCCGGTTGCCAATCTGCGGTGTCTATCATACTAACGCAAGGCAGTATCCTCAACGGTCAGTTTTGGTATTCAGTTCGCACTCTCAAAGGCGCTTTTTACATATCAAATGATTACAAGGTGCTATCCCTCGCGGTCTCGTTTGATGTTGTATCGGACAAGAAGACGGATGTTGCTGCCATGCTCGCCCGCAAATGCGCTACGCCCTGCCCTACGGATTCCCATCCACGGTCATGCCTGTCCTACATTGCCTTTCCTTCAATACCCCCGCCTTGCCTCTTTACGGTTTACCGGCACTGCCTTGCTCCCGTTCCATTGCCTGCCCGTAACCCTGGGACAAGTCTTCATTTCTCCGTCTTCTTCAGCAATCTTCCGGCCTGGATACTCCCTGTGCGTGAGCTCCCAAATCAGCTCACATTACCTCATGTCAACTCACTTTTGTGCAACCACTGGGCCAGTCAGCTCAAGGCAGAGCTTCCCACTGCGACTCCCGAGTTTCCAGGGACGGAAGCTTCGCCTTCCACCTGATGCGAACCCGGGTCATTCCTCGCTGCGATTCTCCCGCCTTTCCCGTCCCGTGTTGTGCACTAAGTACTCCGGTTACGCATCCGTTCTTTAGCAAGTGCCCCAGTCCAGTCCACCTGGGGAGAGAGGTTGACTTGTCTTGGCATCCGTCCCATTTACACTATCACTACATCTCTGCTCAAAGTTTAAATAAAGAAAAGAAAGGAAAAGGGGGAGCAAACGTCAAAGCATCAACCTTTCCATGAGTCTATGCCAGGGCAACTAAGGTAGTCCCTTGGATACTACGTCGTTGAACACTATACCTACCACTCAGTAGCGGCCTCCAGGGCCCCAAGGACCAAAGGGCATACTCCGTACATTATATGCCAAGGCCAATCGCAACTTCCCATCGGTCGTGCTCGGGGTCTGTTTTCCCTCTGACCCTGGCCGCGGTCACGGTCACGGCCACGGCTACGGTCACTCTACGGTCACGGTCACGGTGCTAATGCTGCTGCGGCCGTGTGGACGGACGGGCGGCGTGGGCGCCAGTGGTGGAGACTGAGGTACGTATGGGCGTGAACGGGGAACGTTTCGTCGGAGCGCCTCATCCTATCACCGTTTGATCTCTTGCCGGCCGCCTCGCCGGATCCCTACCTAGCCACCGTCAACACGTGCTACAGCCTACCAACGCTCAATTATTCGTAACTTCGTTCTCTTTTCTCTGCCGGGCCTTGCCTGCCTTAGCTACTAGGCAGGCACGATACCCTAAGGTGCGGATACATCGTAGTTGCCTCACCTTACGCAATTACAGCACAAAGTACCTTACCTCGCTCGAACAGCTTTACCTAATACGGACCGTTTTAGCGTCGACTATCCAAGCCCCCACTCCTTGCCCGACCCCTCCATCATCTTTTCCTTCGTGCCTTCCCATCGTCGCGCTCCCAGGGGACCGCGCCTACCTACCTTAGGTACTTTAAGCTATTCGTACCAATACTCCATACGCAGTACGTACACCTCCCATACTGCGTTAAGGTGAGGTGCTCACCTTGCCGCGCTTCCCCTTCCCCTGCCCCGCTCCTTCACCTCACCTCTCCTCACCTTGAGGTAGTCCGTTCTGTACCCAACACTCACCTTCCTTTCACTCCAAACCATTCGCCCGACTTCTTCCCTCCATCCTAGCGCCATCTCCGGCTCTGTTCGACGGTTTTGCTACGGAAGCAGCTAGCCAACCACCCGTTCACCATGCTCGACAAGTCCGCCCCTTACCACTACTACCATCACCACCACCAACCACCACAGTCACTCACCCCCCAGAGGGAAAAGAATCGCATAGGGATGCTGTGTAAAGAAAGCCCCCGAAACTTGCCCGTCCTAGCCACACGGTCCTCAACCCCGAATCAAATTGGACCATTTATGGAAGCTTAACCAAAGCGCCATCTGCCAATCGAAACCATCAGCGACAACCGCAGCGGTCATGCCTCACCCTCAATCTCGCAAGCAGCCCGTGAGACGCCATGCTCCTCTCTCCCCTTGTTCGTTTCTCCGGTGCTTCACAAGACCATCTGCTCTGTACTCTGGCTGGTCAGAGCGCAATTGCAGTCTACAGAAGTCCCCTCGCGACCATCCGTCCGTCCCAACACGGGTCCATGGCTGAGGCCTGAAAGGGTCAACCCATGGTCATCTTCATGCGGTTTGGAGGCTCCGCTGCAGTCCACGTGCTGGCTTAGCAACAGGCAAGGTGTGATGGTTGTGTTGCAGCACTACACGAAGCGCCTTGATGCCCGACTACGCTCACCATACAGTAGTATACTACGTGCCAGCATCGTTGATGCTGCAAGACGATACGACGACGGAACCATAGGCACTAGTATCCGTACTCCGACCCAATTCCTTCTTACCGCCGCGATCACTTTCTACAAGCCCAAGATATCACCGAGAAATCTTGGATGGCATCGGTGTGAGCGCCCGTACTCGACTGCTTGGTTCATGCGCGCAACACCACTCACACATCTTGTGGTGTACACACATGCATACACGGATATACATACACGCTCACTCACACACATAGCGAAGCAGAAAGACACGAATGGTCCCTCCCTGCGAGTCAGCCCCGTGCAGAATCTGATGCATGGAAACATCTGAGACAGGCGGCTCGGGTTCGTGTGATGGCCTCAAATGTACAGCTTTTTTTTATTTTTTTGACAGATAGCGCTGCCCGCGACACGTGGCTGCAATGCACGTCTCATGTCATGGGGAAAAGCCTATCTGGAGCCCTACCACGCTGCCACGCGTTATGATCTCGACTCTTCGCACGCCTCGCCTGCTTTCGTGCAGAAGGCTAATACTGGCAAGATGAACAAGGAGGGTATCTAATGAGCCGTTATAGCCCCCTTACCCCCCTTCCGCGGCCATGCTAAGTTGCCTAAGTTTGGTTCGTGTTTTGGCGGCTCGTTTCTTCGGGCAGGCAAACGTTGATCGCCTCGACGGCTTTCGCTGTGGTCGTGGTCAGTGCTACCTCATGCACATGGCAAGCCGCAAGCCGCACGATGCACGTTGTACACCGCTTCCAAAGTTCAGCAACAGAGTTGTTCTGGAAAGGCGAGACGAAGCAGGTCTCTGCTTGATTCATGAACCAGCGCAAGTTAATGTCACGCTGCAAGTACTAAGAGTGTAGGTACAGTCGGCTGCAGCCACTCAGCTGCTATGTACAGCCAACACCCATCCCGCCGCCGTCGCCGCCATCCGACGCCATCACCACGTACCATTATCGTCATCAAAGTTACCTTTCGCCATGGCATCTCTGCCATGTGCTTGTGCTGCGCAACCCATCCGACGCCACGGAGATGGTGTGCAGAGATGGGAGGGAAACGTGGCAACCCTAAGGTTCCCCCTCCGCTCCGTGGCGCTTGGAACTGCTGTTGCGGGCATTCTATGCGACGTGGCGTCGTGTTTCCATTCTTGTGCATCCGAAGAAGAGAGCAAGATGAGACTGTGAGACTGTAGGTGTGATGTGGGTGGCTGTCGAAGCACCTATGGAAGCATTTTGGAAGCTTCGAAGAAGACGAAGAAGGAATTTACACTTTCACGCCGTCGCTCCAAGTTCGGGGTCTGTTCGTCTTTCGCAAACCAAAACTCACCAAAGTTGTCACCACCCCCACCGGGGAGTCAGAGACAAGTCCCAGCCCAGCCCGGTCCAAGGCAAGGCAAGACCCGTGTGTCACAACATAGGGGAAAAGCAATGATGTGCCTTGGTGTGCTTGGCTACCAGTACCTGCGATGTGTGATACACCGCTCTCTCCTGGACGTCCGCGGACCCTATTTGTTTCCCGTTGGCGGACACGGGCGAGATGGATGGGGGGAACCCAAGTGTACCTGTGTGCCATGCCCATATGGATTCCAAACCACCCTAAGGTACGGATAGTCTACCTACTTCGCTACTTACAAGCTTGCGTCCCGTCTCAACGCCCGGCCGTCGCCCGCGTCTCCGATGGCGATGGCGATGTATCCGTACGGGGAGTGGGTATACGGCAGCGGCTAGTGCTGCGCCGGTCCCCCTTCTCTGCTGCTACGCAATCCTGCGGCCTCCCATTGAAGAACCATAGAACTCGGCCGGGTGTATTGTTAGATCGAGATGGCGCCCTGTAAGCTGTAAGACGGGCTTTACTTTGTCTGGCCTAGTGTGGCTTCTACACACCCTTCTAGAAGGACTTCCAGAAAAGAAGGGACAAAGCAGAAAAAAAGCTTCGGAAAGCCGTGCTAAAGTATCGGTACATTGCGTGATTGCCCGGTCTCTACACTTTGCCCATGATGCCCTGCGTGTGGCATATTGCGCATGTGCGTATGTGGTATGCGTATGCGTACGTGAAGTGTGGGAGACTAGGGGTATGGGACTTTGAGACTTGGAAGCGGAAAACAGAAAAACAACACCATATGCAATCGCTTCTAAGTAATTGGTCAATTGGCAACTTACCGTCTCTTTTTTTTGCGTATCACATCGACAACTTTCCCGGCTTGCGGTTCCGCACTCTCATCCCCCTGCCTTCCAATCCCATCCATGATCTGGTATCCCATCCTTCCCTTCCCGTCCCCTCTCCCCTCCCTTCCTTGTTGAGAGCGTAGGTAGTTACTCCGTAGTGTAAGCGGGCTTGCAGTTGCAGACACCGGGGGATACGAGTCACCGCCGCTCTTGCCGCACCGTACTTTTCGGCGGTCGGGAAACGACGCCCACCCACAAAGCCCCCTCCCCAACACCAACAGGCTTTACAGCCCACACCACTCGGCATTGTCCCCTTCCGGTTCGTTGCTGCCTCCACTTCGGTCATCTGCCCGGGCCAGCATTTACCCATCCGTAACATCAACGGAGGTTCCTCACTCCCCGCCCCCTTCCCATTCACGCCTATCAGCCCTCCTCGGGCCATCCTTTGAACGTACTGGCGCCACTTCTGTAGCAAAAAATTCTTGGTCATGGAAAAAGACAGAAGGAGTGGAAATCCGATACTAGCCAAAACGGCTCTACGCCGAATGGACATGTTGTGGCCGGAATAGTTAGCATGGCAATGGCGTTTTGTTCGTAATGAAGATGAATGGGGCCGCCGTTGCGGCTCCTCGTTCCGCCGGGCGTGATAGTAGTAGTAGTACAGCGGAATAGAAGAAACACGCCCTTGTCGGAGCGCCCGACCTCCTTTCTTTTCCCTTGATGAACTAGATCCGCATCGGACTTGTGTTCCGATCCTCCCCAACAATGCCCCGCGCGGCTGGTGGGAAAGGGGATGATGGCATCGTTTCCCCGTGGTCTTGGGGAGGGGCTGGACGAAGTGCAAAGGGCTTGAAACATGTTTTTTTGTTAAAAAAAAAAAAAAAAATTTTTTTTGCATCGTTGGGCTAGTCTTGACCTTCAGCAAAGAACGAAATCGTATGATCAGGCTATGGGGCTGTTGTCTGTAATCTGTAGATATCCCCTGCCGTGACAGAACATGGCTACGGACATCGTGATCGAATCCAGTCTCATCGTGATCTAGAGTTTGACTGTAGACCATGACACGCTTTTCATCTGCGGGGCCGTACGTCTTGATGAAGAAGTGAGAGGAAACGATATGAAAGGGGGAACTGCAAGATAGTGCTTCTATTCAATTATGTGCGCCATCAAAGGCCCATGCATCATTCTCCATGGAGCATCGTCGACGAGCCTCTCAGTATGTACACCCTTACAATTAACCAAGTCCACTCTGTCCAAGAAAGTAAACGGGAACCGTTGCGCGTAGGGTGATCCTACTTCTTGGGGTACTTCTCACTGCCTTTATTGGCACACTGTACATGAACCCCCTTTCTTGAACCGTCGCCAAACGACATCCAGGACTATGTGAATGTGCTTCCGAGAAACTGTCGCGTACAGAGTATGCAGTCATCCAGCCGGTGGCGCACTGCGTCCAGGCAATGTGATGCTAATTGAGCATGGGGTTGGTTGACTGTACCCCCTTTCAACCCCCCCTGTGGTGTATCATGATCTCCCAGAAACGAAGATCAGGCTAATCAGCCAGCCTCTTTGACGCAGCTAGGGGGAGAGAGAGGAAGGTATGGGGTTCAGCTGACTGCCTCCAACTGTCCGGGGGGGCTTCACAAGAATTGGTTCGTGGCTGTTAGAGCGTGCCCGCCGTCAGCATGGCAATCCTCCCCTCATGCGAGTGTTGTCAAGAGGTAGCTAGAAGCCGCGAGATGATTGACTCTGGTATTTCGGGTGTGTGATTTCACCCTTGAGAGCGAGTTGTCTGGTATGATCTCGAGAGAAACATCGTATGCAGCAATCCTGGAAGGAGTAATCTCGGAATGCCCGTGACATTGTTTGTCAGGAAAATGGACTCTCCATAGTAACCGTACGACGGGCGCGCTGTGTTTGTGATCGTGGTTCAGCTGGATGTTCTCTCGAACCTTGCGAAAGAAAATGAAGAGTGAGGGCAAAGCTTGAATTGAGCCATTCTGCTCATCTTAGAATCGTAGCGTAAAAGGCGTTTGACTTTCTGTAGGCATCAAGATACCTTCAAGTTGGGCTTTAGTGGCCGTGATTCTTCGCCGACACAAGCGTCAGAAATTTCCCATCGCCAATATATCATCATCTTCTTGCTTCCGAAGCTTAAGAAATTGGTCACGTCTTTGGTCGGGTTTTGGGCGTGACCAGGGCAGTTGCTACGCAGCGAGGTTGGCATATGAAAGGATTCATGCCAAGAGATACTTCATCTCAGGAGTAAAGAGGCAGAAGCTCGACATCTTCTGGGTGATTCTTGCCAACGGTGGAAGTTAACGACATTGATCAGCTAACCGCTGTTCCGGCCCACTTGCTTGGTAGAAACTGCCCCATGTCAGATGGAAGTCCCTGTCGGGAATCCAGGCTGACATCCAGATTGTCGGTACCGCTCATGTCTCTCCAATGTCTCTCCAGCTACAGGTAGGAACCGCAGATGGTTGTAGCATGCCTAAGGTATGTGTGTTGTAGATGAACATGCATGGATCGCCCTCACATGTGTGTCCCGGCAACGTGGGAGGTATGCCTCGGAACCAATGGTGATCGTCAGGAACCATCACGAAAGCAGGGAGAGATCGATGGAGCATGTGAGTTGTGATGGTTGTCTCAAGTATCGGGACATTCTGTCTACGCAACGTAGTGGTCTGGCCTATATCCGTAAACCCGTGCTGCGTACAACGTACAGCGGCAGAGGAGATCTCCCTTCCTTCCCGCCTTACGGGTATAAGCGAGTCAATCATCCACCAGGGGGAGTGAATCTGGGAATAGTATCCGTACACTCCATGCCCCGGGTCTCGATAAATGAGCAACCGACAAGATGTCACGGCTGCCGAGAAGACCCCATCTTGCGAGCATGTGGTCCGTTCCCGCACTCCCGCCTTCCGAGGTGGATCTTGATGAGGAGACATGATTGTGGACATGGACATTTCCAGAAAAGGAACGAATCAGCCACCGTAGTGGATTGTCATACGCGAGTTTATGGTATATTCGGACCACCCCGGCTCAGGTACCAAGCCGGATGAGCGGGTGACTGCATGGCCTCACGCTGCTATCTCGGCAAGAGAGAGGCCCCTACATGGGCGCCAGCATAATCCCTATCCTTCTCACAGCCTTGTTAGTGTGACTGAGGTATACTATATAGAGAGCAGACCGAAAGAAGTGGCCGAAAAGAGGAGTGATAGTGAAAGTGGGAGAAGTAGTGATAAAAGTAGTGGTAGAAAGAGTGCTGAGCGGCAGATCATTGTCGCCCACTTGGCAGACTCGGGAATGAGGCGGATGGTCGTTGGATCCTTGTTTTCGGCTAGCTATTTCATGTTATGCCCAGTTTACAGCCGCTCACCGAGATGGAGATGATGGATACTCGGGAAAGATTCGGCATTGTGGTATGGAGATATAGCGGAGCTTGCCGATGACGATAGACGTCTAGGGAAGCTAGGGGAAATGGTCACCCGCTTGATGATCATCAGGGCAGGGCCGTGGCGCCAGAGCAACTTGGTCGGATGTGGTGACTCGGCCCGTTAATATGACCTTTAAACTACGGCGCGACTCCGTAGACCGGCTCTTCGGGGTATAAAAGTAATGGAGTCCCATCCCGACGATACAGCACAGATGTCCGGGCCGTATTTTCATCAGAATCAGGCAAATGTGGGGCATGCTGCCGATTCAGCGATCCCGTGGTTCCCCTGGATCGGCTGTCACGCGCGGGAACACGGCAGCTCGGCGACCAGAAAGGCAAAGAGATGACAAATGTGGTTTCTTTTGCAGATATGTGCAACTCCAAGAGTCTTTCAAGTCCAGTCAGAGTAGAGGTAACCCGGGTTTCCGGTCTCCGTTGCTGCGAAGACGGCATACACCATCCTCCCACTGTGCCCTGTGTGCCACGATCATCAGCCTCCATCTCACAAGCAAATACCCAGTTACCCGATGGCGGGACTGTGGCACTAACATGAAACCTACAGATGAGGCCTTGTGAGCTTGCATTCACCTAGACGTGGCATATCTGCGGCCCGGGGAGTATCGGCATTGAGTCATGAATGGCTGGATCCGCTTCCCTTAGCCGGGCCCGATGCGATGCATCGTTTTTCAGTTGACAGAAGAAGCTGTCACTGTCTGCGATGTGAAGTTTGCACTGTTTAGTAGCACGGCAGAACCCCGCGATAATATCGCCAAAAGACCGGCCAGTCTCCGGCAAAACTGACACACCTGGACGCCATCTCCGCGCCAAAGTTGTCTGACGGGATTTCGGGACGATGTTCAGCTTCGCCTCCAATGCCAACGAGCCAATCCAGAGCTGATGGGTGGGCACCAAGATGGAGAAATGACGCTAAGAGAGGAAAGCCACCCGAGCTTCTCCCGGTGAATGAGGGGCAAGAAGCTCCCACAACGCGATAACGTGGGGTAGGGATGCGCTACCGACCGGACGGGCGGTCGCCATTGACGCACCTGACCGCGTCTTTCAAGGTCTCAGGTTTCTGACATCTCTGGGCATTCGTTACTTCATTCTGCGGATTGGTAACTGGGAGAAAAAGCTCTCCACCTTTCTTCTCCCCGGCTGAAATGCATGGAGGGGCGCATAGCAGCATGACGGGAGAGACAGAGAAACAGCCGCTGCTAACCTGGTTGCTAATGGATACTGCATGCAAACATGGCCTTCTGATTGCTTGCTTGCTTGCCGTTTCCCCCGCCGTCTTCCCGGCATCGGTCTATCTTCCTCCATCTACCTAGCTCGTCACCCAGAAACACGCGGGACCTTAGAGTGGGTTGCTGACCTCTCTTCCCGAGCTAATGTAACTTGAAGCCAAGTAAGAAGAGGGAATCCAGTCCCGCGTCGTCCGGAGTTGTCCCGTTGTCCACAAGCTCGTCAATCTTCTATTTAACACCGCGATCCTGCTATGAAGATGTTCCAGTCCTCCCTCCTCTTGATCTTGCTTCTCGGCGCTCCCTATCCCCAACTTTTCTTATCTGTTCCTCTTTACTCCCTGTCCAAGTTTGAACCCGGCTTGTCGTAGAATTGTAGTCGCTCTAAAGATACCCCCATCCATTCTTACTGTCCAACGCTTCTCGAGCTCACAATGGCCGACTTTGACGTTGAAGACGTGCTCAAGAAGCTCACCGTCTCTGAGAAGGTCGACCTCCTCGCCGGTAAGACTGCTCCCGTCTCTCTTACGGGGTCACTCTTCACCCCAATTGCGAAATCTTTACCACAGCTCCCAATGAGATCCAATGACAAGCTAACATTCGATTCTCCCCAGGTATCGACTTCTGGCACACCAAGGCTCTGCCTAAGCACAACATACCCTCCATCAGACTCTCCGACGGACCCAATGGCGTACGCGGCACCAAATTCTTCAATGGTATCAAGGCAGCTTGCTTCCCTTGTGGAACAGCCCTCGGTGCCACCTTCAACACCGAGCTCCTCGAGGAGGCCGGCAGGAAGATGGGAGAGGAGGCCAAACTCAAGGGAGCTCACTGCATTTTGGGACCTACCATCAATATGCAACGGTCCCCTCTCGGTGGCCGAGGATTCGAGTCCATCGGTGAAGACCCTGTCCTGGCTGGCCTCGGCTCCGCCGCTATTGTGAGAGGTATCGAGAGCACTGGCATCCAGGCGACGCCCAAGCACTTCGTGTGTAACGACCAGGAGCACAGGCGCAACGCCGTCCAGAGCATCGTAACGGAGCGCGCCCTTCGCGAGATTTACGCGCTTCCTTTCCAGCTTACCTTCCGTGATGCCTCACCGGGTGCCCTCATGACAGCCTACAATGGAGTCAACGGCACATTCTGCAGTGAGAACCACGATCTGCTGGAGAAGCTGGTTCGTAAGGAGTGGGGCTGGGACGGTATGATCATGAGCGATTGGTACGGAACCTACAGCACCACGGAAGCGGCCAATGCCGGTCTCGATCTTGAGATGCCTGGACCTCCTCGCTTCCGCGGAGAGCCTCTCAAGTTCAATGTATCGACGGATAAGGTCCGCCAGCACATTCTCGACGAGAGAGCTCGCGCTATGCTCAAGTTCATCAAGAAAGCTGTAGCGACTGGCATTCCCGAGGGTGCCCCTGAGAAGACGGGCGACACCCCAGAGACCGCCGAGTTGTTGAGGCGCATTGGTGGTGAGAGTATCGTTCTGCTCAAGAACGATGACAACGTGCTTCCCCTGAAGAAGGACAAGAAGGTGAGCATGATCAATAGTAGACACTTCTTTCACGAGAGTACACACACTGACTTTGAGACTCGCAGACAGTTGTCATTGGCCCCAACGCCAAGATCGCCACCTACCACGGAGGTGGTTCCGCCTCTTTGGCTGCCTACTACTCCGTCACCCCCTTTGACGGTATCAGCAAGAAGCTCATCTCGCCCCCAGAGTACACAGAGGGCGCCTACTCCCACAAGCTCCTGCCCCTCCTCGGTAACGTGTGCACATCAGTTGACGGCAAGCCCGGCATGACTATGCGCGCCTACAACGAGCCCCCAACAGACCACAGCCGCGAGGCCATTGACGAGCTTGTCCTCACCAAGACGGAGCTGCTCCTCGTCGACTACTACAACCCCAAGCTCAAGGGCGACCTCTGGTACGCCGACTTTGAGGGCTCCTTTATCGCTGAGGAGGACTGCACCTACGAGCTTGGCCTCATCGTCTGCGGCACGGCCAACCTCTTTGTCAATGACAAGCTCGTCATTGACAACTCCACCAAGCAGCGCCAGGGCGATGCCTTCTTCGGCGCCGCTACTGTTGAGGAAAAGGGCCGCGTCGAGCTCAAGAAGGGCCAAAAGTACACCTTCAAGGTCGAGTTCGGCTCGGCCCCGTCGTCAAAGCTGCAGGGCGACAACGTCGTCTTTGGCAGCGGTGCCCTCCGCATGGGAGGATGCAAGGTCATTGACGACAAGGCCGAGATTGAAAAGGCCGCCGCCCTCGCCAAGGACGCTGACCAGGTCATCATCTGCTCCGGCCTCAACGCCGACTGGGAGACGGAGGGCAACGACCGTGCCGACATGGACCTGCCGGGCTACCTCAACAAGCTCATCTCCGCCGTCGCCCAGGCGAACCCCAACACGGTCGTTGTCAACCAGTCCGGCACCCCGGTGCGCATGCCGTGGGTCAAGGACGTCAAGGCCCTCGTCCAAGCGTGGTACGGCGGCAACGAGACAGGCAACGCCATCGCCGACGTGCTCTTTGGCGACGTCAACCCCTCGGCCAAGCTCTCCCTCAGCTTCCCCGAGCGCGTCCAGGATAACCCGGCCTACCTCAACTACCGTGCTGAGGCCAGCCGCACGCTGTACGGCGAGGATGTCTACATTGGCTACCGCTACTACGAGTTCCTCGACCGCCCCGTGCTCTTCCCCTTTGGCCACGGCCTGTCGTACACGACCTTTGGCTTCGGGGACCTCAAGGTCCGCGAGGCCGAAGGCAAGATCGCCGTGGACGTGACGGTCAAGAACACGGGCAAGGTGGCCGGCGCCGACGTCGTCCAGGTCTACGTTGCACCCAAGCAAAAGGCAAAGATCAACCGCCCGCTCAAGGAGCTCAAGGGCTTTGCCAAGGTGTCGCTTGCGCCTGGCGAGAGCAAACAGGTCACGGTCGACATTGAGACCAAGTACGCCGCCAGCTACTTTGACGAGGAGCGGCACCAGTGGTGCGCCGAGGAGGGTGAGTACGAGGTCATTGTCAGTGACAGCAGTGTCATTACGGACAAGGCCCTTAAGGGCAGCTTCAAGGTCGGCGAGACATTCTGGTGGTCTGGTCTATAGAAGAATTCATGGTGTCACGATGACAAAGCAGGGAGCACTGGTCGGGAGCAAAGGTTTAGGATACGCAAGACTGAATGAATGCATGATTGATATTTATGCATGATGATTTGCTTCGTGATCCAGCCAGAAACGTCCGTTTGATAGAGATATTAATGTTTATATATATCCGTCGCAAATTCATGCTGCGTCATATCTTTCGTGCAATCGTAATCGTCACACGCCAGCTTCAGGCGATATGTCCGAGGAAACTCTGAAATCACAAACAACCTCCCCACCGATGATCAAATGCAAGCCTGGTACTGCGACCTACGCCGCACTTTCGCTCTTCCGCCTTATGTCCTCATCCGAGCTCGGTCTTATACTAGACTCGCTTGGTTGTGAATCAGTTGGGGGTAGCCAAGGCTCAGCGTCCCCAAGTCTTTGAACAGTCGTGCCCGCGTTCCCGGCATTCTTCATCCCGGATTCGAGCTGGCGCTGATAAGAGATGCGATGGAGGCGTTCAGCTTCTGCGGGTGTCAGATGAAGCTATTTACGTCGTTAGTCTTTATGCCTTGTAGACTTCAAAATGGCGGCACGAAAATGACCAACAAGTGAAGGGACCATAGAACGAGGAAAGGAGGGGAAACATACGTAAAGTTCAACAAGTATAGCGTGAATCGTCAAGGCCAGCCATGACCCCGAATCAAAAACGGCTGTAAACCCGGCTGAAATCTCGGCAGGCTGGTGGGCGGTGATGCTGGCGTGGACAAGGACGCTGAGGCCGGGGTTCTCCCCCGAGTAATATCCGCTGCAGCCAGGATAATAGTCTAGGACCTTGTTCTGGTCATGACGGAAGATGAAGTCCACCATAGCGCACTGCTTTACTTGATAGTAGTTCGACTCGGCCGTGATCATGGCAGCGAGGTAACCGATGATGCGCATAGTGATGATGAAGCCGGCCTGTGGGTAAGAACAGCTTCGTTAGCCCACGTGCCGCGGAAGAGTACGTGTCTTTCTTTCTTTTGGGACAAGAGATATCTTACGTATACCCAGGCTCTGAGCATCCATGCCCGATGCTGCTCGATCTGGAGTTTCTTGATGTTGTAGATGGCAAGGGCAAGGGCTCCGAGGAACATGAGGCTGGCGGTGCCAGAAACAGTCTGCATGCTCACGCCACCGCCAAAGGTCCGCCGTGCAATGAGAAAGACGCCAATGATTCCCACTATACTCAGGAGAACGATGAGATACCCATTAAGGCGATGAAACAGGATAGCCTTGCGACGTATAATCGGAACGAACTGTAGACAGGCAAGAAAGCCTGCCGGTATGACACCCGCGAGGTGCATGATGATTCCGATCCGCGCCGTACCCTTCTGAAAATAGTAGCATTCTCCCGGGAGCGCCCTCGAGTCGTGTTCTGGGTTGCAGAAGACGCCGTTGAAGTTGAAGTACATCATGCGGGCGAGTGTGAACCCCATCATACCCCCGGCGGTGATGACAAAGAGGGTGAAGTTGTATCCCTTCTTGAACCCGATGGGGTTATAGATCTTGCGCGCCAGGGCAACGAAGCCGTTGGCGGGAGGTTTTGAGCATGGAGGTGAAGCTGACGACATGATGGGAGGTGACTCTCGTGAGATCGCGCGAGATCGGGGTGAGCTGAAGTGAGACAGCGCCGCCACTTTTCTCGCTTCCTTCTGTCTGTTGAAGAACGGGGGAAATGAGCTGCTCAGTCACAGATGAGCCTGGGCTAGGTTTAGGAGAGGGGAGGGCCCTCATCATATATGCTCAAAAGGAAAGTTCTGGGCCTGAACAATTACCGGGGTATTGAGCCAAGGCCCCAAAGGATGAGAGGCGCTGCCTTTCTTTGTCAAAGCAGGGGTTAAGGGCAAACAGCAAGCAAGAGTGGGCAAATGGCTTCACGCGATTGTCCACAACGCAGCAAACAGGGCAGGGTATGGAAGCATCAACCACCGGTTCTCCCGTAAAAGGCGCATCATGGGGGTCGGGCACGTAGGGTTGGCCGTCTTGACAGCACACCGAAGCCATGTCTCACATGCTGCATGGCACCATGAAATGCTGGACAAGCTTCGCTTTGGAGAGTGCTTCCACCTGAGGACGTTGCAACTTCGCCCAACGTAATTCCTTCGGCCGAGTAGGTGGGAACAAATGGCCCTCTCGAGGACTAAAGCATACTTCTAGACTTGTGATGGGGGCTGCGCCAGCCTCCTCGGTGGCCGGCGGCTAGATGTCAGAGGCTCGAAGCATGGGGGCACCCCAGAAGCAGGTTACAGGTGGCGTCCGGGAAGGCGTTACGGGACCTGAACTAAGAAGCCTACCGGTAAAGCCAAAGCAGCTAACGGCAAAGAGGATCATTGACGGCAAGGGAACGGACTAGGCTCGACCTCGCGAAGCCTCTCACGATCGTAAGCAGTCCTCGGCCATCTCTGAGTGCCTTTTGGCGGGTGGGAAAAGGCCTGACGTGCATGTTGGCGTGTGTTGTACGGCATGCGGCCGTACGAACGGGATCGAATGCAGGCGGGCGGCATTAGTGCCGATACGGAGGGCGGGGCCGGGTCAGGAAGAGGCGAGATGGTTTGAGGCGCCCCGTAGCGGTGTGCATGTGCCTCGTCGAGGTTCGTCACATCTATGATCCATCGTAGGACCGTATAGGCGGAATTCGGACCTTGGAAATGTTACAGGGTGGTCTGCGAGCAACGGACCACGCTGCAGACGGCTACTCGCCTCGCATTTCGCCGCTGCCGGATGTGTTCCCTCAACTGCGATGCCACCGCCACTGTCTTCCCGCGTAGATTAGACATAATCGATTAAGTAGCTAGGCGACGAATTATGAACGACTTGGTAAAAGGTCAGCAGGAAATGGGCTCCGGTTGACCAAACTACATACCTCGTCCTTCAGTATTCTCGAGAGCCGGGGATACAATGAATTCATTGACCCAAATCTCAGAGAAGCGAAATTCACCTTCCACCGGTCTACTGGGCCACATTGGCCTAGCAGCTAGGCAGTCAGACGGCGGTTTGAAGTTGGCAAACAAGTAAGCAAGGGGTCTCTTTTCGATCATTTGCCCACTTGTTTTGGGTGGACTGTGACCGACCTAGACCGTTGATGGGCGTTGAGAATTGGAGCTTTGACGTGGAGTGAGGAGGTTAGCAAGCATGGCAAGGAGGGGAAACCGATTTTTGGGCAGAAAAAGGAAGCATAAAGTGGCCCATCGCCGAGGCTTCTTCTCCTTTTCATCGCGCCATCAGATTTTTCCACACTAATGTCTGGACAACCGAAGTGGGAAGCAGGAGTCCGTATAGGCAGTTGCGCAGGCGTGATCGAAGAAGGTATCTGATTGAAATCAACATGGGAGACGGGCGAGGAAGTCAGAGAGAGCGACGGGGGAGAGACGCCGGCGGAAGGCACAGAGGTTGAAGGGTGCTGCGGTACGTACCCTTCCGAGTATCCACCTTCCCTCCTGGTTCGCTACCTTAATAAGGTACCTTACCTATGGAAGGTGCCCAGGTAGGTCGCTCGGTATCCACCTCCTCCGCCATGGAACTCTCAACTCACGCGTTGCCGTCCTGCCGCATCCGCACCCGCGCCCCGGCCGCGCCTCCGTCCTCAATCGGCCCACGTCTCATCTCATCTCACTTGAGATCCAAGCATCCAAATAAGCTCCTGCCAAACGCGCATTCCACGCAACACGCACACAAGTCAAGACAAGCTGTCAATCTGTCAATCTTTTTCTTTCGCCGAGTTTGTTGTTTTTCCCTTTCCATCTCTCTCCTGCTGTGCCTCTCAAGATGGCTCAAGCCCCCCCTCCACCCACCGTCATCGCCCAAAAACAATCCTTCCTCGCCACCCAGGCTCGTCTGCTCTCCCAACCCCTGCAACCCTCTCGTGCCTGGCTCGCCGCCAACGAGGCCGCCGAGTCCACCATTCCGGACCCCGTCGTCGAGCACGTCGCCGCCCGCCTCAACACGACCTTGCTGCAGCACTCGCGACGCGCCTTCTCTCACCAAGCGAGCCGTCATGTCGCAGAGCAGATTGACGCGTTGTACTTATCTCAACTATCGGCCGCACAGAATGACTCCTCCGAGGGTCTTTCCCTCTCTTTGGACCTGTGTATGTTCTGTGTATTCCGCTCCATGTAGCGCAAAAGATTAATGGGAAAACATTATAGCCGAAGAGACTGCCGTAAGGTCGCTTCCCTTGGCATGGCCAGCTGAGCGTGATGCAACTACCTTTCCCATGGAAGTCAAAAGGTATGCTGAACTCGCTAGCCGCTTGAAAGAGCTCGCCAAGCAGAGGCAGCAGGCCAGAGCCCGTGTTGAGCAGCTACGGCGCATGAAGGCACTACTCGACCCCTTCCGCACCGAAGATGCCGGTGCGGGCGTGCAGGAGAATCTCGTCACCCGCGATGGCGAGATTGAAAAGGAGATGGAGAAGATGCGTGTCCTGCTGGCTCGTGTGGGTGGTCGTGTAGGACTTCTGCCCGAGTCCGCCGAGTCTGCAGATCTGCTCAGAGAGAACAATTCCTTGATCATAGAGCCTGTAGCGACAGGAGAGAAGCGCAAACTCGACGATCTTCTCGGCAGCTTCTGACGGGCTACACAGAGAGGTCCAAATGAACATCGAGAGAGTGCCTGTGGAGAAGTAACGGTAGTTCAGGCAAAAGGATTTTGTATTCAAGTTGTAAAGTGGCGTTAGGTTCTAGGTTTTAAGGATACCCCCGGATTTATGAGAAATTACTTCTTTCCTGTTTTCCCCGGCACGTCCATTCTGAGACGTATATCATCAAGCTTGAAAGTCGAACATATACCCCAAGGAATCAGCGCCAGGGATCGCTCTCCTTTTCCTGCTAGCATCAGAGCGAGACAGCTTTGAAGCATCGCTGAGGTCCTCGCTAGTAGGCCGGATGCTCTTCTTTCTCTGTTTGATTTCTCCTTCAAGCGTAGCATCTTTAGCACTGTCATCCACGTCCAGACCTTTTGACTTCTTGTCACCCGGCTCTGAGGTTTTTGGAACTGCCTCCTCTTGGGGATATAAGCTTGGCCGCACAACTCGAAGGTTGCTAATTACCTCTTCTTGATCTTCATCCGATACCTTGGAGTACACTCGAAGTCCCACTACAGCCACAGCATTCCATGGATCTCTCTCAAACTCGTCTTGTTCCTCGGCAGGCGCACCAGGAGGTGGCTGCGGCGGCAGACGATCCGTACTGGGCTCCCGCTTTTCAACAGCGTCAATCTCAAGCTCCAGTTCCCGCTCGGAAAGTTCTGACATGGATGACACACTTGCAATTCCATCGTCGTCTGATTCGCATGGGTAAGGTGCGGAATACTCCGATGGGGGTGCTGCTTCACTCATCGCCTCTTCGACATCCTGAAGGGTAACCTCCTGCACCTCACTCCTGACTTTGACCACCTCGCGCCTATCGCCTCTGGAATGCTTATTTGCAGGTTTTGGGGGTGTCAAAAACCCCGAACCTCTCTCTGTGTCTTGTTCCAGCATTTCAGCCGCGTTGAAGATTTGAGGTATCGCTCTGTCTTTGTGACGGGGAGAAATGGGTACGTCCTCAGCAGCCGCGATACCTGAATTGGTTCGGCTGCCCGTTCCTCGCGAATCGTTCGATAAAGATAAGTTCTTGATTGCAATCTCGAGGGTTTCAGGTTCGTCTTCCTGGATTGTGACTTTGGCCACAGGGCTTGGTGGGTTCGGAATCGGCTCAGATTGCTTCGGCGGAAGGGGATTAACTAGCCTTTTATTTGCACGTAGCTTCTCTTTTGCTGCCTGGTGCTGTGCAATTCGTCTCGCCTGCTGTTTCTGGGCCTTCTCCTTGGCTTTGATCCTGAGGTAATGCTCCCGTTCTCTCTCTTCGAGTATCTTACACTTGATCTCGGAACGTCGCTTTTCCCGCTGTCTCTTCTCGTAGGCCTCTTTGGCCGCCTTTTCCGCAGGCGACTCGACAAGTTTTCCCTTGCTGTGAGCAAGGTCATAGGCCAGCCCTATCCGGATCAGCTTCTCTCGGCGGTTTTTGGCATTGTTGCGGATCACTTGGTCGATGGGAAGAACGCCATCGTTCCGCACCGCATCTAATTTGACAAGAACCTCGTAGCTACCAGCTTGAAGGTCGAGTTCAACATTCACGGATCGATTCATGCGGTAAGATGCTTGACTCCGAACGACATAGTCCTCTTGGCCGGCTTTGTGCAGACGGAATTGCAAATCAAACCGGTATTGACCTTCCAACCCACGGAAGTATCGATCGTCTAGCTGCGCTAGTACGATCACAACGGGACCCGACTTGGAAATTGTAAACGCGAAATACGTCTCGTGGTAGTCTAGGGTCCATGGCACCGATAGTGTTGTCCAAATGGATGTAACCTTCCATTCGGGACCGAATAACCGAGTAACATCAAATATGTTGTACTTTTTGAGGAGATCGTGGTACGAAATCCAGAAGGCGCCGTCGTCGCCAAACGTATGTTTGAGTTTCCGCAACCACTCAGGGGTCCATTCTTTGGAGCCATCGCCTGCTACTCGTCAGCACGAGAACGGTTAGTCATTATGCCTCGAAGACGGAACTCACTCCAAGCTCCTTTCCATTCACCCTTTCCCCAGGGATTCTTCAGTAGAACCAGCCTTTGACCATCCATTTCGACAGCCTTCATGACGCTGTAGGCGTGCATCTCGATAATGCCCTTACGTTCCCCAAGACCCCTTGATGCAAACCCAGTGGAGCAACCCAGAAGCCAGTCTTCGTTGACCTTTAGGAGTTTCTCTTTCCAGAAATACTCCTTGTCAAGAATGTCTGTTGTGTAGACCTCTGAGGTTACGCCACCCGTAAGGTCCTCGATAGCCTCGCCCGTGAACCCACCCTCAATGGAGGCATAGTCTCCGTGCGCTTTTGCGTACGCTTTTTCGAGAAGCGGCAGCCATGTCTCGTTAGGATTCTCACACTGAGCAAAGTAAAGCGCGCCACTGTTTGACTGGTAGATACGCCTGTAGGCTTCTTCTGAATTGATGCGCTCGCGATCTTCCCAGAGAATTCGCTCCAAGTAGGGCTCATCATAGTCGGGCTTTGTAAGGTACAGCTATGCATCCGGTTAGAAAGGGCCTCAAGACTTTTTGAGATCTTCTGGGACTTCTCGTCCAAGCTTTTCCCAATTATACTGTCAGAGAAACAACGGAACATACCTTGTCATCGATGATCTCGCTGAACCACTCTCCATCGCGATGGAAGACAAAACCATACACGCCGACTTCAAGGTTATGCGCAACGCAGACTTTCTCAATCAGACCAGGCTTGTTACTCAAATTGCACAGCGCGGCCATGAGCCAACAGTCTCCGTCTCGGCCTTGGCGCACATCGTCCGCCGTAGGCCCGTCAATGTAGAATTGCGGGTTGTCGAAGATATCAACCACTCGCTTGACGGCCTTGGGCTGGAAAGAGGACTGCGGGGGTTTAGCGTCCTTGGTATTCCACAGGGTTTCAAGACAGTCTCTGCGCCCAAACTTGAGGTCAAACTCGATATCATAGTGAGGGTCTCTGTAACGTTGATTGACTCGGCGACACTCATGAACAATCTTGTCGACCTTGGCCTTGCAGACAGTCGCAGCCTCATCGTACGATGTCTGGGTGAAGATTCCGGTGGCTTTGGAAGAACGCTTTGCGACCCTTTCAGCGTACGCATTCTGAGGAATGACGGTGGTGGCTGTTGACACCAAACACGTTCAAGTCAGCCTCACGTCGATGTCCAAGGCGATTCTCCGTATCAAGGATGCGACCAACCTTTTCCCGGAGTCTTGGTTGTAAACTTTGTCCAGAACTCGTCAATGATCTCCTGGGGAGGCTGTTGCTTCGTCTTTCGGGTTTTCGTGACAGTCACAGGCATGGCGGCTAAGTATGCTCGGCGGCGCGGGTGGGGGATCACAGACGACGGTACAATCTCGTCGGAGCTTGAGCTGGAGCTCGATATTACAGTGGAAGCCATTGCGTCCTCGGACTCGATCTCTCTAGCAGTTGCCTTGGAGTCAAAGTAGAAGCTGCTGATCGCAAAGCTTTTGTGCTTGCCGACACTCGTTCTGCTGGTCAGAGCTAGCAGTCTCAGCTGAGGTGCTCGGCTTATACTTTCCTGTCAGGTGCGGCTCCAGCTAGCAGACGGTTCGAATGTGGACAAGTTTACCTGGGCAGATCTTACAGGTTTGAGGTAGGACAGAACGAACCCACGAAAACTGTCCAAACGTGGGCTAGGGTCAGGCTGGGGGTGGTGGGAAGGAACAGCATACGGTGGATAACTTTCAGCAGCAGGCGCAGGCCGCGAGCGATGACTTATTTAACCGGCTAAGGGTGTTCCCGACATTTGGCTTGTGGAGTGAGGCTCTGCAGCCTGCTGCGTAGACATTGGGAAAAGTTCTGAGTTGGGTGATGTTGACCATCGGATGACCCAGCCGTGCGGAAAGCATCTATAGTCTTACAACATGATTGTGTGTGACCCTCGTGACATGGTCGCCCAGGCAGAATGAGGCGGCTGGCAGATGGACAGGTCAAGATAGGTAGGCGTGGATACCTATCAGGCTGCAGCTCGAACATGACGGCAGTTTTCTTACTTGAGATGGCGTGGTAATGCAGACTGCAGCATGCAAGTCCACCTCTCATACGCTGGCTGCATTGCAAAATCAGCGCTTGGGAGGCAGGCTGGGGCTAGCTGTGGTTCTACCCCGCTTGGAAACCAATGCCATGCTCTGGTGTTCAGCATCGTACTTATTGATGACACTGAGGCTGGCCGACTTTCGACACCAGTACCCGCAGTGTGCATAATCAAGCGCAGCCTGTTGCGGTACAGGTGATCCGGTAGCCTCACTCAGTCAGACACATGGATGATAGAATACGCACGTCTACGTGTAGAGTAGCCTGCCGACTCTACCGGCATGATGAAGAAGACGAGATGAACACCGACGTCCGGTTACACTTTCCTAGAAAGGATTCCGGGACCGATGGTCAAAGCTTTCGGCGTGCCGTTCGTACCCGCTCACCTCCGTGTGCACTGGTGCCTACTTACAACCTCATGTCTCTACTAAGGTATTTGAAGCTCCTTAAAGCCCACCCATTCGCATTCTGCTGTGTTATCATCCATCACATGGTCAGAGCCTGACTGCATGTGACTACTCTGCGAAACTCTGACTTGCCCGATGTTCTTCTTTAGCTTGACCACACACAGCTTCATGGCATCTCATACAGGTGCCGTCTGTGCCACGCCTAATCCCTGGCTTTGGAGTATCTCCTGGAGTCGTTCTACGGTTCTGCTGTATCTACTGAAAGCAGAGTATTTCTGAACTCCGTAATAAAATCATCCGTCGTTAGTCATGACAGAGCTGGCGTTTCCTGCTCCCTTAGTCTTGGAGCCTCGAAGTCGTTTCTAAAGGCAGCCCGATGCCCACTGACCAACAGAGTCCCCTGTACAGCATCACCCGGTTCAGATCACCCATCACAACTGCGGCACGCCCTACCCTAGAAGAGACTCGGACAACTCAAACAACAACAGCTTCTTTTTTTTGTGCATCACGCCACAACAGCTTTGCCGGGGTGCTCACCATTCCTCCCTTCGAAGGGATCTTCTACTCAACAACCACTTCCACCGCCCCAAAACTCTTCTTCTTTTTC